TTAATTGCATATTCTTTACATGTCATAAAATATTATTCCTCTTGATTTTTTCTCAACCATTTTAAAACTAAGGAGAGGCCATTTTTAGGTCATAAGGCATGAAAACAGGCAGCAGATTTGTCCTTCCTCACTTCATCTACCATTCCTTGCTTTAGGATATGATTTCTAATTTCTTGTAAATGACTTGTTTCTTATAGTTTAAGTAAGAATAGCAGCAAAGCAAATTATTTGAGAACATAACAGCATCATTTTCCAAAATTCTAGAGAGCCCTCTGAAACCTTAGGCATGGCCCTTTTGGAATAGTGACCAATGGCTTAACTAGCTACCAGTTTCCCAAGGAGAGTCCCTGAGCCTGACAAGGGAGAGGGAATGAACAGGAGCATGAGTGTGTGTGAACATGGGCTGCGTGAACAGGAGGTGGTGCGAATCTGATTTCTGCAGAACGGGAGGTGTGAATGGGAGCTCTTGTGTGAATGGAGGTGGTGTGAACTCTCTCTGGGTGATCGGCGTTTGTCTCTCTAGCCCCTGAAATCAAAGAGATCCTGCATCTACCTGAATGAGCTAGAGGTCATTCCATTGGTACAGACATTTGGACACATGGAGGTGGCGGAGGAATGAAGGTTCCTGATACCCAGGTGTGGGGCTCAGGGGTGGGCACACAGGCAGGAGCAAAATTCTTTTCTGCAAGCCCCTGCCCTGCAAAACGACCGGAGAGCACAGGACTCTAGATCAGGAGCCACTTTGTCCAAGGAATGCGGGAAAGAGCCAGTGGGGGGATGCATGATTCTATGAATGGGGGGGCTGGAAAGTTGTTTTACTCTTTAACTTTATTCATCATTCAATACTGAAAATATTTCCAAGTTTTGTGGATTCTTCGAAACATTTTTTCACGTCTGCATCAAAATGAAAAGCAATTAAACGCTTAGTGGCTGCAGGTTCCGTTTTTCCTCTAACAGATAATTTGCCAGGACCCACGGGCAGCTCCTTCCTTCCCTCGATGGAGCACCGGGACTGCCCCTGCCTCCCCCCAGCTCCCCACACTGCCCATGTGTCTTCTGGCTCTAATCCTTCCTCTGTTTAGCACCTGTGATGCGCTCTCAGGCCTCACTTCCCACCACCAGGGGCCAGAGCATCCCAGCCCTTCTACTCCCACCTCCTGTCCTCCGGGAGTCAGTCGCAGAAGAATGGGTTCTCATCCTTTAACTTGAGTCTCGGCTTACGTGGCCCCCAGCTGCTCCTTCCTAAACCCCACTGCTCCAGCCCCCATCTTCTGGCTAGGACGCTGAGCCTCTGCCAGCAGTGTGTTATCCTGTAGCTGCTGCTGGATGTGGCGGTCCCCACAGCTTCTTTCCCGAAACCCTCCTCTCCTCACCCCACGCCTCCCTAGACAATGTGGTGCCCTGCCTCCTCCCTCCTCAGGCCCAGGACCCAGACCCAGCCTCCCATGCCCTGTTCGCACCCCCCTCCCACCCTGCAGTTCAAGCCATCGGTGCCTTTGCCTCCTCAGGGCTCTTGAGCTGGCACTGCTATCCTGTCTCCACCCCAGCACTGGCTTGACCTGCTGGAAGGTCTCTAGCTGCAGCTCCCTCTGCCCTGTCGCTCCAGAGCATTTCAGCCTGGCCTAATCCTGCCTCCCTTGAGGGGGCCTCATGTGGGCTCTCAGGTGCATTTGTTTCCCGGGGCCACTGCAGTAAAGTACTTCAACCAGGCGACTTGGACTACTTAGTGTGCTCTCTCTGTGCTGGGACCACAAATCCAAAAGTTACAGTGTCCCCAGGTTGGTTCCTCTGGAGGAGGTCCTCACTGTATTACGCACTATGAGGACACCACCCCTTGTTTCAGTTTAAAAAAATTTTAAATGTTTATTTATTTTGAGACAGAGGCAAGCATGGGCAGGGAAGAGAGAGGAGAACTTGAACTGGCAGGCTCCAGGCTCTGAGCTGTCAGCACAGAAAGCTCGATGAGGGGCCCAAACTCACAGACCGCTAGGATCGCTTTTGCATTCTAGCTGCAGGCTCTGGCCAAATCACTGAGCCACCCAGGCTTCCAGAATACCTACTTTGTGACATAGCCATGAGTATTTGCAATATTTTGTCTCTGAACTGTTCAGTTTTTTAACGCTCTCTGACATTCTGGACACAAGTTTGATGGGATTTGCGCATTGCCCCAATCTGTACTCCTCTTGTCATCACTGCCTTAGTGTATTCCTCAGAAACAAAAAAGTCTCAATTTTGAGAGTCCAGTTTCTCAGCCACTCTGATGGGTCGCATTCTTTGGTGTTTTTCTGTTTCTCTGCCAGTCACCAGATCATGAAGATTTTCTGCTTCCTTCTAAAGTTCTGACATATTTGCACACTTCCTGGGTTATGGTCCGTGCTGGACTTAATTCTTGTGCAGCCTGAGGTGTAGGTGAGGTTTACGTTTTGCACGTAGCCTATGACCCTCAAGATGACTGGTCATGCCAGCACCACTCGATTGGAAGATTATCCTTTTCTTTGGAATTTGAAATTTGGAATTGCTCTTTGTCAAAACCAGTCGACATTATTTGTAACTCATTTCTAACCATATATATATTTTTTTTTTTTCTAAATTTTATTTATTTTTGGGACAGAGAGAGATGAGCATGAACGGGGAGGGGCAGAGAGAGGGAGACACAGAATCAGAACAGGCCCCAGGCTCTGGAGAGCCATCAGCCTAGAGCCCGACGCTGGGCCGGGAATCAAGGACCGCCAGATCGTGACTCTGGCTGGAAGTCGGACGCGACCACTGGCGCCACCCAGGCGCCTATATTTCTTTTTTAATGTGTACATTTATTTATTTTGAGAGAAAAGCAGGGAAGCAAGAAATATAAATCCCGCAGGCTCCACACAGCTGTCTCAGAGCTCAGCGGGGCTTGATCTCACCACCCCAGAGAGATTCGCGACCTGATCCAAAACCAAGAGTCGACGCTAACCGTTCAATCCGGGAGCCACCCCAGAAGCCTCATGCTTCTCCAATATTTAGACTAAGTTGATCTGTATGTCTTAAGAAATCTTTGCTGGGATTTTGATTGAAATTGTATCAAGTCTGTAAGTCAACTTGGGGGAGAAACTACTCTACCTGGGTTGACTTCTCCTGAACAGGCTCTGTCAGCCTCTTCCTTATGTTATTATTTCCCAAAGTTTTTTCTTTCCTGATGTCACAGGACTTCCTGTGCACGCTTGCTCCTGCTGTAGTGGTTTGGTTATACTTCTAGGTCTGGGTTTCTGTGCATTTATCCTGCTTGGGGGGGCCTGGCCGAGCTTCTGAACTGTAGATTACTTTTCCTCACTTGTGCAGGTTTCACACGCCTCCTCAAGTGTTTCTGTGTCCATTCGCCTTCTTGGCTAGGGCTCCCTTCTGCATGTGCTAGGGCACCTAATGTCACCAAGACCAGCTTCTGAGTCTCTTTGTCTCCCACCTTTCTCCGTGTTGTTGAGCCTGAGGAGACTCTATTGGTCTGGTCATCCCAATCACTGTTTCTTCTGATGTTCCTTCTGTGGAGCCCACTAAATGGATTTTCATTTTTCATTATTATGTTTAATTCTGGGAACACCATAATAATGGTTTCTTTGAAGTACTGATAAATCTGACATTTAAATTACCGCCAGTGTTGGTTTCTACTAATTGGTTTTTCCTGAGTCTGCCCACTTTCCTGTTTATTTGCACATCTCATGATTTTTTGGCGAAAATTGGGACATTTCGGATAATGGTGAGGACCCACTTTTTCCCCTGCAAGTGGTTGAATTGCCTGGATTTTGGCGGCTCAGGTCTCAGCCAAGTGGCTAATACGATTGTGTGTGTGTGTGTGTGTGTGTGTGTGTGTGTGTGTGTGTGTGCGCCACAGTTAACGCTTTTTTTATTATTTATTTTTGAGAGAGACAGAGACAGAACATGAAAGGGGAGGAGCAAAGAGAGAGACACAAAGTTGAAGTGAGGTTCAGGCTCTGAGTTGTCAGCACAGAGCCCAACATGGGGCTTGAACTACAAACCATCATGATTTATTGAAGCTGATCAGCTAACCGACTACACCCAGGTGCCCCTATACATTATTTAAAAAAAAAATTTTAACAGTTTATTTTATTTTTGAGAGACTGAGAGACAGAGTACAAGTGAGGGCAGAGAGAGAGGGAGACACAGACCCGGGAAGCAGGTTCCAGGCTGAGCTCTCAGCACAGAGCCTGACGCAGGGCTAGAACCCATGAACTGTGAGGTCATGACCTGAGCTGAAGTCAGATACTTAATCAGCTGAGCCACCCAGGCACCCCATAGTGTTTTATTCTAATTTGTATTTTTGCCCTGGCCTCCTAGGGGCCACCCCTCTGTCTTTATGGTCGGTGGTCAGCCAGGGCCCAGAAATGGTGCTGGAGCCACAGGATTCCACCCCAGCCAGTAGGCTGGGGGGCTCTGGGACTTCACCCAGTCCCCTGCCTCAGCTGCAGGTGCTGTGTCCCTCGCTTCCACGGCAGGTCACCCATCACATTTCTGGCTGGTGGTAGCTCAGCCTCCCCCTCCCCCCC